GAAACTAAAACACTTTTACTACACTTACGATAAGTTCGTCTGTTAATTATCAGCAATTAGTATTATTTTTATTTATGTTGTCTAGGTTTATTCACCATTTTAACCTACAAAAATGCATTTATAGTAATACATTCCAATTCATATATCATTCCAATTCATATATCTCACAAAACATGAATATGCATTACATGCACACAGTGAAGAAAGCAAATCCAACAGTGACTATATTAGATGTAGCATTCGTAGTAATATTATGGTCATATATATGGTCCGTTTACTACTATTATTTCATCATGTCCTATGTCCTTGCAATTAGCCGTCGGCCATAAATTTGCAATGAAATTTTTAATTATTATCAGTGTATTATGTAGTTTTGCTTCTTTTTTTTGGCGTAAACATTGCAGAACTAAACTGCAATTGATGTCATTTATAATGAGTTTTTAATGAGGGAAAATATCTAGACTATGAAGGCAAATTGTCTTAAAACCAGGAAAATCTGATAATCTGCAAAAAGCCAGTTTCTGCCAAAACCCATTTAAAGAGCACTTAAATGGGTTAGACGCGACAACATAAGACGCGGCAACTGCAGTAATGTTGGGCACCCACGCTAAGTAATTTCTTACCCGGATTTAGCTCTTGAATAGCCCTTAAAGACGGAAATCAACCTATTTTTACTCACTGTTATTGAATGAAAGAACTCAATTGTATATTTATGCTCTTAAAAGCTAAGTGCAGGTCATGAATAAAACACATATATATGGATGTGTTTTTGTATACCAGTAGTGGTATATATATATATATACCACTACTGGTATACAAAATTTAGAGAGATATCACACTATACATACTACTAATGTGTACTACCTACCAGTTTGACTGCTGTGTACAATTTCAACTTCTTCTCGCTTCTTAGACAGTTGTAGATGTATGAACATATGGTGCCTATAATACTAGTATGCTCTATCTAAATTTTAACAACTGGGAAGCGTATCTTGTATACAATTAACACTCACTCACTCACTGGGTCGAGCTTCCCTCGGTGCCAATGATAGCTCTCCATCTCTTCCTATCCTTCATTACTACCACCAGGTTTTTCCTGTCATTAATTGATTTATGTAGTTTCTTGCTGGACGCGACGACCTCGACTTCTTTTTCCATGTGAGGGCTCCCACAGTATTAACTGGTTTACAATTATACAGGATGTTATTATGTTTTGCATTTGCGTCATTGTAGGTAATTATCCCATACCCGGCACTCAATCTAAACACATCCTTAGTTCAATATTTGAAGGACAACTTTGAAGGAGAATTTGAAAGTCTTATGAGTTTCTTTTTTAAACCTTAAAGATAGACTTACAACAAAAAGTGGTAACAAATTCAAGTAACAAACACTTATTTTACGTGTGTAACAAACATGTGACAAAATTATAAGTTAGTACAAAATGAAATCTAAAACCGTTGAAATACAAAGGAAAATAAACGCAATGTAATAAAAACCAAAATCCAGTTCACCACATGCAGAAAATGAAGAAAATGATAGAATGATACGGAATAAAATGCAAGGGAACAATGAGTTTTAGAAACCCTTTTCTGCAATAATAATATTTTGAGTAATCTGCAAAATGTTAGAATTGACAACGGATGAATATAAGGGGCTGCCATCATAAGACTTTGGGAATGGTAAAATTCATTCAGAAATTGTCACTGTGATGTCATGATCGAATGAATAGAGAAATTGTGTTAGTTTTTGTTGTTTTGTCATTCTGTATCGTATGTGATTTGAGTAATATTGTATACTAGTAGTCTGTTATTCGTGCTTTGTATACCCGGTATTGCCTGCAAAACAGATTGTTATGTACCTGAGTGTTACTACTGGTCAACCATATCAACTGAAATAAATTGCAACTAAGAAAAGCCGCGGAGTAAAAGAAAAACTTGCTGTGTGGAAAAAGTCATTAGCAAGAGAAGACCACGCTCCCTAACTCCCACACATCCTGCCCCTCTAACCTGCAGCTCCCATGATAAGACATGACGACGCAGTAAATTGCCTCTATATCTGTCCCACTTAAACAGCTCTAGCTCGATATACACCGTAATGACCAAAAAGAGAAGTTGCAAAGAAAGTTTTATCACTCCCAAGGCAACAAAAGTCCTTGTATTTAAAGTGCAACTTCTAGTAAATACTCACAGTCACGAGTTAGATGTAACAGTCAGTTTTGAAAGTACGATAATACTACGCATTACCAAACGAAGCATGAAGTCGTGGAGTAAAGTGGACAATATGGAAATGTAATTTTCTAAGGACTGAATTTCGGAAATGAGACGAAAGAAAGCAGATTGTGAATAAGATACCAGGGTTGAAAGATAGAGAACAACATTGGCCAAGTTGCAGAGTCTTGGATATCTGACACACACAGATATGACATATGGCATCTACTACAGTTTGCGTGTCTTTGTAAAGAAGGACCGTGCAAAAAAAAAGGTCCTTGAATTCGTTGTGCCAACGACATGGAAAATCCCAAAAGAGACACCGGCGCATGGTGGCCGACGATAACTGTGTTTCCGCAAATGTTTATTTCATCCCTGATGCAGGGTCTTAGGACGGAAATAGCTCTAAGCCTCCCCACTATCCATAATGTCGTCACATACTAATGGAGGTGGACTGCCCAGCTTACGCGTGTTACCTTTTTCGTCCTAGTACTATTTGATGTTGAGCTATGACTTAGCGTTCTGTGAAGGAAAGATTTAAAAGTTTTGGAGCTTTTTTCATCTGAAAGAATCTACATGTCACGACAGCCATGAATAATTCTTTTAGGTCACCGCTGGACAGGTACAAGGTAGACACTTCTAAACGGTTCGATTCCTATTTTTATGCCACTTTCTTGCGGGAAAGATCATAGAACACAGAGAACATTCACATTGGAAAAACCAACCAATACATGTAGGTAAAAAATACCAAAGAGGTATGTTGATCATTTCATTTTATTCACATTTATTTTTGGAGAATTGGGCAAAAAGTAAATATAACATTTCGAGGCTATCTCTTCTGCACACATACAGACATACAGAAAAACCAGGTACAAAGAACAATGAAGAAAAAGAAGTACAAAACTAGAAAGTTAACATTTGCAAAGCAAATGCATAATGTTTACCTTCACATATGGTCTGCTCTCAGACTGACAATTCATACTGAAACACATTTATATATTATAAGGTGACAGGAGTCTAAATCCCTCCTGCTACAAAATTGCAACATGATGTAACCCAACACTAGTTACCGTGATGACAGACGTCTGGTTCAGGTTATTGACCTTATTTGTTCGGAGAAGAAGAAGAAACTCAGCAAAAACAATATGCTTTCCTTTGGTAAACATGAAGAGCTAGCGCTGGTGTACAAAATCACAACAAATTAATCGTGTAAAACGACCAGTCTGTCAAATAAACAACATCAACTATTTTACAGAGTTTCCCTGAAAATATCTGAGCATAAGATGTTTTCAGTGGTGTTATTTGATTCATGAAAAGGACTAATTGATAAAAAGACCACATGCGTTCTCCCAAACATGATACAGAAATATTGCACATCTTCTATATAATAGATCTAGTCATATGATGGATGAAGTAATCAATAATTCCGCATGGCGTATATATAGTTTTATGAATTGTTTCCTCAATCACAAAATACGTCACATTTTTTGTTTGAATTATTTGTGTTTGGATAACCGAGTACTTGTGTGTCGTGTTTTGTCAGTAATTGGTTCATGCATCAATAACTTAAAGGAGAAAAATACGTCTCCTGTGTAAAAGCAAAGGTACCATCATTTCACTTAGAGAGCCATAAGAATACATAAAAGCTTAATTTGCTGTTCGTTAAGTCTTAGGTTTATACATCTTAACTGCCAAACAATGATGATGTGCTACTGTCTGCATAGAAAGTTTCATTGCTTCCAATGCAAGTAAAATCCTTGTATTTAAATTGCAATTTTAATTTGATTATGCCCAAGCACAAGTGAAAACGCATAGTGTGATAACACTACTCTTCGCCAAATCAAGTTGTGGAGTAAAGTGGACAATCTGAAAATGTAATTTTGTAATGACTGAATTTCGGAACTCGGAAGTGAGACGGAAAAAATATTGTTACCACTGAGGTATAATGATAGAGGATTGGGGCAAACATTGATGAAGTTTAATCGTTTATCGTGAATTTAGAATATATACCTAAAACAGGCCATATGGACACCTGTTGCTGTTTGTGTATCTTTGCAAGAAGGGCCTTACCAATAAATCTCTCTCATGATACAGAAATGATGCAGAAAACTACAAATATAAAATAATAAAATGATACAGAAAAAAGTGCATCTTTTACTCCATAAGTCTATTCATATGATGAATTAAGAGAGCAAACACTACCAGCGGCGTATAGTTTTATGATCTATACCGGGACCTCATTCATAACGTACATCTCTCATTCATTCACATCATAGAACTGTTTGTGTTCCATGTGTGACCGAGTACTTGTGTCTTGTTTCTTAGTAATTGGTCAATACATCAAGAAAGTAAATTAGATTAATATCTCTCTTGTGTAAAACACGGGCACCATCATGGCATTTCGGAACACATTCACGGTTGATTGGCTATTTGTTTAGACTTAGGATTATACAATTATACATCTAACTTGCCAAACCATGACATTTTTCTATACCAGCTATATAACTTTTGTTGAAGACGAAAATGCAAAGCAAATGTATAATGTTTACCTTCACATATGGTCTGCTATGTTAATTCTTACTCAAACACAATTTCATCTATATGGTGGCAGGAGTCTAAATCCCTCCTGCTATAAAATTGCAACATGATGTAACCCAACACTAGTTACCACGGTGACTGACGTCTGGTTTAGGCCATTGACGTTATTTGCTTGGAGAATTAGAGTAAGAAGAAACAGAGCAAAAGAAGATGTTTTCCTTCGGTAGACCTAACAAGGTGCCATATGTTTTACAGGTAACAGTGCAGGCCACGTGCATCACCCTTGCGGTACTGAGTATTGACCGGTACTGTGCCATCGTTCACCCGCTTCGCTCCATCGACTTCCGCACACCGAAGGTTGCTGCCATTGTCAGCGCCTGTACATGGATAGGTACACTTCTTATATTTATTCTAAATTCATTCATGAAGTTTTACCACATTTGTTGAAGGATTGACATAACATGTGGCTATCACTTCTTCAAGATGTCAGACCTGAGACCGGACATGGATAGGAATAGATAGTACTACACTTCTTAAATTTATCTATCTGTGAAGCTTTGCCACGTTTGTTGAAGGATTGACACAGCAAGTAACTATCACCTCTTCAAGATGTCAAACCCGAGACCAGTCTGTAAGGTTTGAACCACTCACACCGAGAAGAACTTCTGTGAGGGACAAAAACATTCACAACGTAAAAAAGCAATACATGTGTATTTCAATTGCAAAATGTACGACGGCAACGTGAAAAGCAGTAAAGATATTTGTCAAAAAGAAAGAACACAAGCGCGGATTCGAACCCGGGTCAAAGAACTTAACCCTAACCTCTACGCCACGAAACATCACGATTGTGACGTAGCGTTCTAACACAGTTGATGTTTGCTAATGAGCTACGAATAGTCGTGTACCATCGCTGAACACTACTGGAAGACGCCGAGACTGGCTCATGCAAAAAAGGAAAAAGCAAATCTAGTAGCTATGTATAGAAATGTGTTATATTTTAATGTTTTAAAACATTATACTGTTAACGCAGTTTATATGAACTGTATAGAAGGCATAATTCAGCCTTTGACTGCAACGCCTTTGACTGCAACGCCTTTTTTTCTACCAATAAACCAGTTTTGATTGATTGATTGCTGTTCTGCGATATGGCATCGACCGTTTCAAACGACAGTTTACGAGACGGAAATTACACTCTTGCCCCCCATAAATCAAGACAGGCGCAGCATGGTAATGTCTTTTAGCCTTCTTCGATACCAGACGATGTAAGGAATTTGCATTAGCTCTTGTCTAGAATTTGATGATGTTAACCATGGAAAGCTCAACAATAAATCACATCATTACAGTGTTCTGACAAGGTGATCTACGCTATAATGAACATTTATGCCATTTACACCTGCGCCCTTTCTAACTCTTCATCAAATTGCCAATGACCCATATGACAACCTTTTTATTTCCTGCTACAATTTTTTAACCTTTTTACCACTCACATGGGTAACAATAAGGGACTGTAGGGACTTGAAAAGTTTAAGGTTGTACCAATTTGGAAAGAATTCACAGGGATGCTTAAAGCTTGTTCCACAGTGGTGTAGCTTGTTCCACAGTGATGTAGAAAAGAAGATTTCAGCGTGGAACTTTCTCATGAAAGATGGAGTATGGAGGAGGAGAGGGTTTTTTCCCTAGAAAAGGCAATACGCGTCCTGGCTGAGAATGTTCGAAGTTTGTTTTAAAGGCATCCAGTAATTTTTTGGGCTTGGACTAGGTCACTCCGTGATCAAGATGTACAGTAGACATCGAAAATTTGTAGTACGTGTTTCTACTTTTCAAAACAAGTCACTAGTCTACTAACTATGTGTCCTTCGTTTTTTTTTTCCACCAGGTTCTTTCCTACTCGCCTTGCCTCTGGGTTTGAATATTCAGCTCGAAGAGGTCGAGAACTTCGGTCCACAGTTGATCTGCCGGGAGCACTGGCCCACCAAGTCTGCTCACAGGAGCTACATGCTGTACACCTTCCTCATCACCTACGTCATCCCGCTGGTCTTCTGCACCTTCAGCTGTTCCTTCATCGTCCGGAAGCTGCTGACCAGATTCAGCATCAGTCACGCTCAGAAGACCGACGCGCAGGCCAGGCAGACCCGGCGGACGTCCTGCATGGTGATCGGGGTGGTGGTCCTCTTCGCCTTCTGCTGGCTACCGAACCACATCATTAACCTCTGGTTCGTGTTCAATCCCGAGCCACCTAAGGTAATAACAGACGTACTAGCGTGGACCAAGACAATCGCACTCATTCTCTGCTACTCAAACTCCATGCTGAACCCTTTCGTGTACACACTGCTCGGTGAAAACTATCGCCGCTGCCTGCGGCAGTCGTTCCCTTGGCTGTTCAAAAAACGTATCCTGCGTAGAAGCGCTCTCGCCACAGGCCGAAGCTCTAGCTCCTCCCGGCCGGGTAAGACCACAGAAATCACGCTAAGATCCTCTGCCGCTAGACCTGTTATCGTTACCTTTAACAACAAACGCCCGCCTTCTAGAGCGATGACGTTTGGCTCAATCGAGGAAGAACATCGGACCTAGTGTCTTAAAGAGAAAGCTTATACTATCACAAAAATTGAAACCATCAGATTTCAGTCTGCTACTGAAAGCTCCATTGTTCACACATCAGTGAAGGCCTGACTTAGACAGTTTCAACTTAGACAATAACAACAAACGCCCGCCTTCTAGAGCGATGACGTTCGGCTCAATCGAGGAAGAACATTGGGCCTAGTGTCTAACGAGAAAGCTTGTGCTATCCTAAAAATTGAAACAATCAAATTTCAGTCTGCTACTGAAAGCTCTAATGTTCATATATCAGTGAAAGCCTGACTTAGACAGTTCTGTCAGAAAGTTCACGACGGTACTGTTCGAAGTTCAAGAACTTCTGAAATACTAAGACAGACAAGTAACTGGAATATGGTTGCACATAAACCAAGCAACTTCATCTAAGCAAGAATAAAAAAACACTAACCATACCTCTGAGGCATTGGTTGGCAGTTACATGCACAGCTCTAAATCCCAAACCTATATACCAATCTCTACGTAAACCAAATTTAGAGACTACATTTTACAACACCAGAATTACAAGCCATATTTATAGACAACAACTATCAAAACTATAATTCAGCAGCGAGGAAGGCATTTTCAAATCAGCTCCATATACGATGTGTAGAGAGGACAATGCTAGGAGTTGTATGAATGTAAATGAAATGAATTGTAAATTTATAAATAGTATAATGACAAAAAACTGACAAGCAGTCACAAAATTAATCAGGACGACTCGGACGGTATTGGGCCGAGTCGACCAGGGAGATGGGCCGAGTTGTCTGGGCCGAGTTGGTAATGGTCCGAGTCGTCCGACATTCCTCACAAAATAGGTGGTTCCGCCATTCACCGAAGATAAAACAGAATTAATTTATCACTGGAAATGGAAACTACTCTAAATTGAATTTGATCTGATTTAATTCTTTAAAAACCATCAATTACATGTGACCCCAGGACTATCACAAAGCGACAGCATTAAGGATAAGTAGAGAACTTCCTGGGTTAATTGGGAAACTGAATCTTCACTCCTGTATGAAGGACTGATGATTGCGAGCTATCTATCTAGGTCTCTCCCACGATGTCTTCAAAGAAAGCTTGCCCGTGGTGTACCACGTGAATTTCTGATGAAAGCTCTGCAAGGGACGTACATGAAAGTCCTGAGAACTTCAAAGGTTTGTTAGATCGTCGTGTGTGAGGAGATTTGTAATGATGGTTTATCTATTTTGTTTAGATGGTTTATTTTAGTGTTCTAGGCGACCTGATTTTTTTCCTTCATCTCAATTTTTTGTCATAACGCTCATGAAAGTCCTGGCCACTTCGAAGGTTTGTTAGATCGTTGTGTGTGAGGAGATTTGTAAAGTTTACACGATTTATTCTTGTGTTTTAGGCGACCTGATTTTTTTCCCTTCATCTCAATTTTTTGGTCATAACGCTCATGAAAGTCCTGGCCACTTCGAAGGTTTGTTAGATCGTCGTGTGTGAGGAGATTTGTAAAGTTTAGATGGTCTATTTCAGTGTTCTGGCCAAACTGATGTTTTTCCTTCATCTAAATTTTGTTTGTCACAAAGCTAAATACATGTGTAAAAAAAGTCAACCTACGTACAGAATATATATATCAGCGGCAACAATAGAGTCTCAACTATTTTCTAACATGTAGTCCCTAATATGTGAATTTGGTTACTTCCTAAAGGCTCCAGGACAGACAACGATGGAAAATACATGAAAATAGAATTTCTATTGATCCTTTTCGATCGACTCAACACACAGATAGGATTATCCATTTAGTGGACAGTCTCCTGTGGCCTAAATGTGGATTACCTTAGAAACACGTTGTTCCAGTTTGCCGAGTTGGTCTATGTACAAAGGCCATGTCGATTTGATTATATGGATGACATCCACGCGCGCATGATTTAAAAAAAGTTTTTTTTTACCATATTGTGATTCGTACACAGCAGCCACAAAATGAGCAAATGCATGCCGTTAATTGCAAAAAAAAAAATATTGCAAAACGATCCTAATGTACCAGAATGCCAAAAACCATTTCCAAAGAATTTTTTTTTAAATGTGAAGAAATGAAAATGTCCATCATTCGCCATACCATACTCAGTATGTTTATTCATATCTTCAACCTTCAGCAGTATCGACGAGTACATACGGAAGAAGATGACCATAGGAGCTACTAAGGGCTATCCGCCTTCTGGCTCCTGACTGCAATTCAGGTTCAGGTAAATTCATGACCACGGCATGGCAGCGTTTTTGCTTAACTTTTTATTCGCACGCTCGCATAAGTGTTTTGATTCCCAGAGGATGTCATCCATATAATCAAGCCAACCCAGCCTTACATGTACCTTTTCGGTACTGCTGATTGAAGTGTCAAAACTCACCAAAGGTCATCCGTCAAGAGAATAGATACCTTCTAGTCTGACCTGTACTTAATCGTTATCGTAATGCGTTTCATGATCTTTTCTGACATTTCGTCCTTCCCATGAGGATTAACTGGTCCATCTTCTATATTGACCTGTTAAGGAGAATTGCTGATTTCGATAAAAACATGTGCAACCCATACGTTAGTTTACGTCTGCTCTGGATCTTAAAGTCATCAAGTGTGATTACAGGGCAGCAAAACTGGAAATATTCTGAATAAGGCAATCTTTGTGATATTGACACATACTGCTTCACATTAGCACATTTGAGTCAGCATTTCAGACTTTTGGCAATTAAAACTACATAAAAAAGCCCCAAGATGAGTCTTTTATTTTCTGGGTTGTACCCTAAAAATCAGCCCAGCGCCCTTCCAGTAACCATTTTCCGTCAGAATTTTGGGAATTTTTGCTCCATGACGGTCAATATACATTGGGATAGTATGGTTGCAACTCAGTATGTAAATAAATGACTAGAATATTGTTCTTGAAATCGGGTTTCCAAGCCCTAAAAACTGCATTGGATACCTTTAACTGTGGCATCTATACCGTCACTTTGACGCGTAGATATTGGGGATATCCGTTTGGTCTTTTAGGTTGACATTTTGTTGGCATTTAGTTTAATGGGGTTGACGTCTGGTCAGATTGTACACTTTACCTTTGCCATATCAGGACCAACTTTTCTATCTAGACACTGTCTTTGTCCACGCTGTATCAATTTTGAACAACGAGATATCATATATGATATACATGTCCTAAACTTCATACTTTACAAGTGATCGACATGTGTACGTACATGTAGGCCAAAGATCAGGCTATGTTGATTTGATTATACCGATGACATTCTCTGGGAACACAAAAACTGATACGAGCGTGTGAATAAAAAAAGTTTGGCAAAAAGTTGCCTTCAATATGAAATCTACGTGGTCAAGAAGGTTGAAGAAATGACTAAGAACATGGAGCATGACAATTACAAACTCTTAAGTTTCATTTCTTGGAATTGGTTTTGGCATTCTACAAAATTAGAATTTTTTTCCAATATTTCTTTTTTAAGCTAGGGCGTATATTTTCTCATTTTGAGCAAAACGATTTACAGTATGGTCGAAAACGTTTTTTCTGGAACGGGCGAAAATTTATGCTCGCGTGGATGTCATCCATATAGTCAACTCAACATGGCCTAAGCCCCATCTGTGTCTGTATCAGCAGGTTATGCAAAAAGAACTGGACTCCTGGTTTTTGTTGAAAAAATTGCAGAGCTTAACCGATGTCCGTTATGTAAAGGTGGTGTTCACGGTTCGATGTAATTGCCAGGTTTAGAAGGATTGACATAGAACCTATATTTAACCTGTACATTCTGTATATAACGTCCGTCCTTGTAGTTATTGTCGGTGACCTGAAAACGTCTATACCATGTTTCGGCTCTACCTTTCCACACACAGTAATCTCTACAGAATGTCATCACGTCCACCCGTTAATTACATGTAAGCCTCTCTGTACGTGGCCTGGTATACAAACCTATTACAGCTATCGAGTCTTTGGTCTTGTTCACACGGAAACGGTGTAACTGATTTCGATCCAGATTCTACCGAAGCCGGATTCAAGTGGCCCCATCTGAACGATCCAAATCGCATTGAATGCGCCTGTTTTATCACACAACAATGAATGTAGCTTAGGCGAATCGTGCTCGGGCACGGTTTAAAAGGAACGCGTGGCACGTACCCCAGATGTGAGGAGTGCGATTTACGCGAATCGCGGTTCAGGCGTCTCCATGTGAACAAGGCCTTTTTATTCTTCGCAAAAGGAATATAATAGGTTTGGATACCAGGCTACTCTGTATGAGCGAGTGACCTAGTTAAGTCATTTATGATGTACACACATTTATTACTACTTCAGTTCCTATCAGTTGTGCCAATGTGTAATTGAAAAAGAAAACACTAATCATAGAGACCATCGTGGCATGTTTTTGTTGTGCTAATTAGTAATCAGTATTGGAACCGTGTGTGTGCATACATTGAGTTTAATGACACAAGATATCGGAGTCGAGTTCGATGTTCTATGAAATACTAATCTGAAGGTAAACGTGAATAATTGTATCTATGATGTATATACAGTATAATCTAAAAATGTATGTATATATCACAGAAAGTATCTGTTTTGTAATTTTCTTCAGTTTTCTTGTAGTAGATAACAGTATAGACTTTGTTGTCATTTGTAATACGTGTTCTGACGTTTGAAATTTGTTCTTTCTCCAAACATATAACAGATAAATAGTTATAAAATGCAAGTGCAATATTCTATAACTACAAAATACAAGATATCGATGCTGCAAACCGTATGGAGATTTAAGACTTATACATAGATGTACTATTGGTAAATGTTAACTTCAGCATATTATAATATTATTCTTTCTATATACTCAATTCCACGAAGATTTACATGTAACTTTGCTGTACATACTATTCGAAAATATACATAATGCTTGCAAACGATGGTAACAACAGTATAACATTGGAAAACTTACAACCTACTACTATTTGGTTAGCTTTAAAGGCATACAATGCAATCTCAGAACGGCAAAACGAAAAGATATTCTGTATGATAAAATAAGTCTGATATATTTGACATTTACTGCCATTTCTTAGCACTTTCTTGTCGTAAAGCGTTTGAAATAGCCCCAAAACAATCGAAGTGCTGCGTATACTTTTGGGGTAAATAGCTAGAACCAGCCTAACATGTAAAACAAACAACAGTTTCCGTCAACGACATCGTATTTTTGCCTCACAGATATCAGTATGCTATGGGATAAGATTGATTCAACTTACTACATTAAAAGAAAGACCCAAATATTGTCTTTGAAAACCCAGTTTTGCTGCGTATGTCCTGAAATTGCATTGGATTCCCTTAGAGCTGGTGACATCTAAATGCATACCTGTAACATCTTTAGTAACCTGAAATGTCTATACAATATGTATCCTACTACTTAACTGGAATGTTACTGAACTACAGGTTTGCCTTCACGCCTATGCCAAGATATCGTTAAGTATGCCCAGCAGTGCCCGTTGCTATTCCCGTAGATTATGAATGGTGGCGCTTCTGGACTGTTGCGCCACTATGCAATGTATTGTACAAGCAATGTAAAGTTACTAGTATTACAAACAATATGAATGTTTTTTTTTCTCTGAAGTTTGGAAATGGAAATCATTTTTTGTCTAATATACTTTCTTTAACTCAGTGCATCATCAGGGTAAGGTGAACGATTGAGAAAACATACAATAATCATACAATACGATTTTCTAGGCCAATGACATCTCAGAAATTCCTTGATGTCACACATCAGAGAAGCCACGTGGCAATCTCTCACTGGGTAAGTCTATTGAAGAAGACCAGAGTGACTTGTCGAACGCTCTAGGTGAGAAAGAACCCTAGCATTTGTGTCAAAACAAAAGTTATACCTTTAAACATGTAACTACGAACACTGATGAACTTTCAAGATGGTCAGAATTTTATCCACAAAGTTAAGGCAGTTTGGTCTTGTCCTTCACACTTCAGACGCATCCCCAGCTTCCTTGTCGGGTCCACACGCGTCCGGGTCCGTTGCCAGGGTGATTTTGATAGCCGGTATGTCGGAGCGGCCTGGTCCGGATCTCCTGCATGTCTGGGGCACAAAACATATAGTCTTCAGCAAGACGGCAAATAAAACACACCATGATGGCATGGATTTTCGGTCGATCTCGTCAACTTGCGTCCACCCACTCGCTGACTCTTTGGAAGCCGGAAGCGTGATGACGTCAGGGCGCATCAAAAGTGGCGGGAAAACGCGGAGGGAGATTCCGTCTTCCCGCCAGTTTTAATTCACTCATGACGTCACCACACGCTTCCGGCTTCCGGAATGTCAGCCCAGTGGATCACTCATCTTACAAAGGTTGACGTGTTTGACTGAAAATTGATGGAGTTTCTAACCTTTTTTGCGTTGGAACAAAGTATAAACTGTGGATTTTACCAACACAGATAAATATCTTGTATCTGTCCTTGGTGCTGAACTGTTTGATAAATGATAAATCTTTATAATTAGATTCATCAGGTTGGGAAAATCACAGTTTAACACAGCTCTGGCGCACACGTTAAATGTTTTCACCGGTACCTGTCGACGATTTTACTAGGTTGTACCAAGGAAGTTCTATAGTCCTTGGTTGTACTTGATGCCGCCTTCACACTTCAGCGTGCGGTACGGTACGTAGCGCCATCTAGCGGTGCAACGGCGCGGTACAGTCGGCAGACCATTATTACTGAGTACACCTTATAACCCTCAAACCCGTTTGAACCCAAAAATACTACATGTACATCAACATAATTACTGAATAAAGAGACTATTTTTTTTTCTTTTACACAACCAAGAGGTTTATTCAGCCGACGTTTCGGTGACCGTCTGTCACCTTCCTCAGGGCGATTCTGACTGGTTCACATTGCGCAGCTAAGGCGTCACTGTAATAGATGCGTTCCCAAACGCAAAAGGGAACAGTATCTACAATGCGTTTACTAACGTACAATGAATTCATAATTTTTACAACAGTTACAGGAAACCGATATTTTTCTTCATCATTACACACATCATTAGGTAGACATATTCTAGAATCCAATAAAATCCAGTCTATAAGAAGAAAAGACATGTGCTGGTTACGTCGGCAATATGCTGTCTTCGTAAACTGATGGCGTTTTACACATGTAATGATGACGTGCTACACACATCTACACAAGGCACCGGTACCCTACCTTCAGGGTGAGCGTTCCGTCCCGCTTCTGGTTGCCATGACGACAGCAGCATCCGGTCTTTCTCAGGCACTTCCGGTAGTTCTCCCCAAGGAGTGTGTAGACAAACGGGTTGATGGCGGAGTTGGCATAGCTCAGGAACAGGGCGAACATCTGTGCAGGAAACATCAGTATCTGTTTTATTACGTTTACCGAAGGAACATATACTTTTTGCTACTTTTCTTCTTCTTCTCCAAACAGTGACCTCTGACCTGACTGTCACCATGGTAACTGGTGTTGGGTTACATCATGTTGCAATTTTATCAGTAGGAGGGATTTATTCTTCTGTCTGACCATATACATGAATGTATTTGAGTAAGTATTAACAGAGCAGACCATGTGCGAAGGTAAACATTATGCATTTGCTTTGCAAATGTTACCTTTCTAGTTAAACATTTTATATTTGATTGTAAATTGTATGATGTCGAACATGACATACTATTTAGAATAATCCACTTGGACAAACAGTAAAAAGGTAGAACAAAGAAAGATATATTCAGTCATCTCATGTCTACCAATAATGACCACACAATAGAAAAACATGTCCAGTTATAAGTGTTTTACAGCCTGAGACATACGAAACCATACAGTGGGCTGTGTTTATTATTCCTTATACACTAGCTAGCAGGCAGTGTGGCTGTGTCACGTTTCAAAGACAGAAAAGGTAGGGACTCAACATGAATTCCAAATCGAATTCTCGTCACCAACAATACACGCGTAGGGTGGGAGGGGGGCGCTCAGAAAACTATATTAACGACAAACATAAAGACGAATACAGGTCGCTTTACAGGTCTTTACTTGATTATTAGCAAGAAGATTTAACTCAAGATAAATCCAGACATAATCAACAAGTTGTTTCCTGTTGCCGGGGGAGCAAGACTCGCCGGCGCCGACCAAGGCCGTACAAGACTTCCTGGTGTGTCGTTTTTCCTGGAAAACGGTCATATCTTACAATCTACCCATGACCAAGCGACTCTTCACAATTTGATGAAAAGAAGATAGTGTTCAGACTTTATTTGAAAAGATGGCAAATCCAGGAAGAGGCGTCCTGATCCCCGGTAATCCTCACAAAACGCATCCACAGAACGTCAGACAAGTTAGGTCTGGTGTGTTGGGCCCTGTTATTTATGATCGTAAGGCCAGGTTGATTTGATTATATGGATGACATCGTACGCGCATGAATTTTTGTCTATATCTGTCCTCAAAAAACGTTTTCTACCAAGCTGTAAATTGTACCAAGTAGCTGAAAAATGAGCAAATGCTGGAAAACGATGGTATCGGCCAGTTTGCCATCGATTTTGAAACCATGGAATATGGAATTTGCGCAAATATAAAACCAAGCCATTTAGTCAATGGGGTAGTCTGTTGGAAAATTGGTGACAATTTTGCTTCCGTTTTCTTGTTTTCTTATCTTATCGCCATGCTTTTGTATAAAAAGAACCACTTGTCCAAGTTAGACTGCAATAATCATAAACAGCTGGAAACAATGAAAAAAGGTGAGAACAGCTGAAAACAATGAAAAAAGTGAAATAAAAATTTTGGAACCTTAGCCCAGTAGACAGAAGCTGGTATCTTGTTGCGGATGTAGATTGTTCGCCACAGATTCAGCGCGTGATTCGGTAGCCAGCAGATTCCGAAGAGGATGACCACGCCCACTACCATGGATATGACGCGTCTGGTCTACAAAGAAAAGAAGGAAAAACAAAAACTATATCATACTAGACATACCGACATTTACTCGGAAGCAAATGCAGCATATTTCATTCCATATTCCTCCCTCCTCAATTTTACACAGTATCAAGTGTTCAAGACCCAAATGTACCCAATACCCATACAGTGATTTTAGTAACAACTATTCCCGATACCCTCATATATTGCTTTCCAGTAAAATACTCTCAACAGAGCCTTACAGTGCTTTTCGGTAACAAATTTTCCTAAAACCCCATGTAGTGCTTTTTGAAATAAAGTGTTTTAAGAACCCTCATACAGTGCTTTTCAGTGCAAAATATTCTGGAAACTCCCATACAGTGCTTAATTTACCAAGTGACAGAATGATGAGAGGAAACAAAAGGAAAAACAATATATTTCATCCATACTATGGTTCGGAATAAAATATAAATAGATTGCTGCCAGACCATTTTCTAGTTAAACCTGACTTCCTCTCGGAAATTCAGACGCCCACACATGCAGACCTATTCATCTTACCATTTGTACTCACTTAGCCACTGTGAATGTTATTTATGCCCTTCTAGAGGCATTCAAATTGCTCATAGCTTAGAAAACGGAAGAAAGATGGTCAAAGAATAGGTATAGATAAAAATATGGGTACCAACTCTTCTTTGAAATTCTCTACGCATTCCTAGCCTACACCTTTCCACTGAGGCATTAAACCCTTTTAAGGTCTTAACCTTAAGGCGTTGCTAATCCTTGGAAATGGCCTTCTACGTTGATGTACCTGCATGATAGATGCTAGCGGCCCTGTCTGGTTCTCCCTAAAGCGGTTCCGCAGTTGCTTGGCGATGCAGAAGCAGGCTACGGAGCAGACGGTCATCGGGATGGCGTACGTGATGAGGACGGTGTAGATCATGTAGCCTTGCTCCCAGACCACTGAGGGCCACACCGGGCGGCAGTACGTCCGCATGCCGTGGAAGTTGAAGCTGACCAGTCGGTAGTAGATCGCCACGGGTATAGCCAGCAGGAAAGAAGCTGTGAATAACAAGATAAAATGAGGGAAAACAAAGTAAAACATTGAAACTTATTCCAACACACATATCATACAGAGATCAAATTTTCAGCGAAAGCTGTCTCCTTTATCAGGATAATTAATGACCAATCGCTTCAAAACGTAATCTCGCGAGAGTTACGGTTACAGACACGTGACCTTATTCACGCGAGACTTTGCTGATACGTGACGTAAACAATTGATCAAAAGTGCCAGGGAGTTTATATCGTCCACCGTCTCTTTTAGATGAGGGAAAACAATATATTTCATCCTATGGTATGGACTGAGATATAATTTAAGTTAATATAAGTTTCAGAGTTGGATGTACTTAGTTTTCTAAAGTTTCTAAATGTTAAAGTTTCTACTTCCGACTCAAAGCTTAAGCTATCGAGTATATTGAGCGATAAAACGAATATCTTACATAACAAAAAAAAGCTAATATTTGATATCTGAGTTCTCAGGCTCAAAAGTCTAATCCAATGGCTTTTTCCTCAATATACGGCAGTCTGCCAATTGATATGATATTCGATACGGCCCTGATACAGCACTAAGTTTGAATGATATAAACTTTCTTCACAGCAACAATAATTGCAGAATTTTCAGTGGATTATATAGGCCCGTAGATAAAGCATACGTGACGATAAGCATGTAGCTATAGTCTACCTTTAGTTATCATTATCATTTCATAGAAACCGGTAGACCAGCTACACTCTCCTTGTAGCCAAGGGCTGAATTGTGAAAAGCTTACATTTGGTGGGACTGAATCACAAGGGTCTGGGCCATATGGCGCTAACTTAGGTGACCTGAATACGACCCCGGGTGCATCAATTATACTGTAAGGTTTGAACCACTCACACCAAGAAGAACCCCATATTCTTTTCGATAGGTGTGGTGGGTTCTTTAACGTGAGTGGGGTGTGGCTCTCTCCCCAAACACAGTACCTTCATTCAACGTCCCATCCAAAAGAGACGTCCCTAACTGAAGCTACGTACACAAGATCGGTGACATAACAGGATTCGAACCTATGATCTCTTGGTTCTCAGCCGAACACTCTGCCGTTACGCCACTACCCCGCAATATTCATTTATCTATTTCTGTTTAGCCAGGCTAGCCCACTCAGTGATTAAACACTGCTTTGCAGTGGGGCCCTGGAAACAGAACACATTTAAAACATACAAATAATACAACAAATAAACAAACAATATGGCAAAACGAACAGAAAGTACTTACAGGACAAAACAAACATATGTGCGAATGTACAAACTTTGAGGACAAATAAACACACAAAGTCATAATCTGTAATCTCCAAGCAGATTCCTTTCGGTGGCAAGGCAGTATGCATCAGCCGGCCACCGACCTTCTCTGGCTAATAGATTCTGTCTTGCCACCGAAAGAAATCTGCTTGGAGATTATAATCCGTACTCATAGTCCATATTCCGGTCCGTTCTTCATAAGGTCAGAAGAAGTCATAAAGTTACACATCATTCCTACCTGCCCACGTACACACGCTGGCGACCAATGCGAAGCGGGTCCTGCGGAACTTCAGAGAAGCGAGCGGGTGTACGATAGCGCAGTACCGGTCCACACTCAGGACCGCTAGGGTCAGACAAGTCGCCTGGGCCGCGACCTGAGAAACAAGGCAACGTTACATCAAGCTGCTCGGTCAACAATAAAGGCAGGATGCTACATATTACATGAACGTTAAGAATCCTTTTTAACTGACCTATATGACCCAAGGGGTTTGCCGTTCTAATGGATAACATCGATATATGTGTAATGTAAAAGTTTTTAGAAATAAAAGTTTAAATCTTCAAAGTCAGTAAAGTTTCTGTAGGTAAAGTCTCTGTAGGTATAGTAACTGCGAGCCCTTTCAATTGAAAATGGTTTTAAAAAAGATAAACCATCTTGTTTGTTTGTTTGTTTGTTTGTTTGGTTGTTTGCTTGTTTGTTTGTTTGTTTATTTATTTATCCAGGAGAACACATGTCGCCTGATGGCGATTTTCAAAGGTTCCTGGGGGGAAAACCCCAAACAAAACCCTTTAATAAAACGAACTCAAGATTAACAAAGGAAAGAGATAATAAAGTAACTTAAACAACATAAGAGAAACAATTTTGTAACCTTAACATCATATAATGTAGAAACAAGGTAGAACATAATACAATGAAAATCAGGATTAAAATCAGGATTGAATTTGCATATCAATGATTGTCAGTTACATACAATTGTTTGAAGGATGTTAGGGTTCTGGCTGTTTTTAGATGGTGTCGTAGTGTGTTCCACAGTACCGCCCCAAAGGATGCCGTTAAGTGAAAATTAATGGCATACGTCCCAAACTTCTTGCTTGAAGTCCAGCCAACGATGTTAGCTGGGAGCGTTTTTGGGAGCAGACCTAAATTTAACAACTTAGGTAAGATTGCAGGCTATCCTAGAATGCCTGCCCACACACAAGGGTGCATAAACATGTATCTAGTGACGGTCTGTGATTTTTTACTATCATTATTCTCGTTTTATTACATTATCCCTTTGCATATTGGTAACCTTTGCACACAACTAGAAATATCTATATTCATTCAGATCGTTGGCTACCGCAATATTAATTTGGAGAAATGATTTTGAAGAAGCAGATTTAACTGATGGAGTAAGCATTGGAACAACAAGAAAACAATTTGTTTATCAAAGTAGGCTCATGTGATTTTTATTACCATTATTCTTGTTCTTGTTCCATGGTCTTACTCTTTCCCTTTGTATATTCTTATACTTTGTGCACAAATAGCCATAACCATTTTCATTCAGAACATTGTCTACCACAATTTTTCGAAAGAATTTGAAAGAAATAACAGTTCTAGTTGATAGAGTGTTCACTAGAACAACAGGAAACACTTTGTTTTTCAAAGTAGGCTAAGAACTTTGATATAGATATTTCCTCTCCTAGTCATAACAAGTTATTTTTCCCTGCTAAAGCTTATAATCACGTAGATTAAATATTGAGATTAACAGATGATGAAAGTGTGGCTGTGGTATGTGTAATATTTGATAACGGCGGAGGATTATTTCTGCATGTCCGCAGCTGCATTCCTAAAATAATTACATGTTTATAGTCATAGAGTTAAATATTGCACCAACAAATACGACGCAAGACCTGTTTTGCTGCAAGAAAAGTATGAAAAAAACATTAGTATCCACCAATGAAAGTTTGGGTTTTATGTTGGGATCAATCATAATTTCAGAACTTGTAGATAATACAAGTAGACTGTTTTATCTCTATCTTGAAAAAATGGTATATGTATGAGCACTTACTTATATAACGTTACAAATAGCTTTAAAGTACAGCTTATTTCTACTTTGTATGTCGACCTTTGCCATATACTCATCTCATCAAAAAGAAAGTTAGAAAAACAGTTGTACGGGTTGAGAAAGTTACCGTTGAAGAAGTGATAGAAGAATATATGTATACTGCTATAATCTTTGTTCAAACACTAAAGTATAGCTAATTTCAACTTCGTATGTCGACTCTGTCTCATTAAAAAGAAAGTTAGAGGAATAGTTGCTGTACAGGTCAAAAAGTTACCGTTAAAGAAAATTGGCGGCTTGAAATGAAGAGTGATATTATACATTCTAACACGACACTGATATGAAGTAACGAGATCTCCCGCGACTTTGCGAGTGTGTAAATTGACGTGGTTTTGTGAAGTTAGGGGAAGCACGGGTGGTGCATTAATGCATTAATGTACCCGTCCAATTATAAGACCGGTAGTTGGCAGACTTCCAGAATTGAGTGGGCGGTCGTTTCTGAGAAGCAAAAAAACTCTTGAAGATGAAATGCATACTCATGAATGCGGGCTGTACCAAAATCCAGATATTCATTCGTTGTATCCTTTGAAAAAAATCGTTCCTTTTAATTCAAATGATCTAACAAGGCGTTTATCTATAGTGAAAAACAAGGAGTAACCAACGATTAGTTAATAAACCGGCTTTAAACAAACCTGCATACAAATTCATATCATTACCAGGAAGCAAAAGGAAGCCTAAATTTATAGTACATTCTAGATGTCCCTTCGTGTCTGTAAACATGTTTTTGTTTTTATTAATATTGTTGTGACTTGTGCTTAGCAATGAAATGAAATAATACATATGTAAACATGTATATGTACTTGAGACCTATTTTTGCTCAGTGGGGCTCAATCTTTATCCATAAAAAACATTCTACATGGTTCTAACATTTTAATAGCCAAAAAATATTCTATACAAATCCACCTGCAAGGTAAAGTAACACAATGTTGTTGCTGACTTTGGTATTGTCTCATGTGAGTTGGGTAGTTACGTCTATTCTGTAAGCAGATTTCTGTTTGGGCAATGGTAAACATACAAAAATATCAGTGGGTAGGTGCCTACGTGATGTCAGTTGATGTATGTAAATCGGTACCGAGACTGTATTTGTTTGGAGAAGAAGAAACTGAGCAAAACAAGACATTTTCCTTCTGTGAAGGTAAATATACAAAAATATCATTGGGTATGTGCCTACGTGATGTCTGTAAATCGTTACCGACTGACTCACTTGTTTTAGGTAGTTAACGATCTTGCACAGAGCTTCTCCGAAGATCCATGACGGCAGAGTGTAGTTGGCAGCGGTGAAGGGTATACAGCACACCAGGAAGGCCAGGTCCGTGACGGCCAGGTTGACGATGTAATAGTTGGTAACGGTTCTCATCTCGCTGAAGCGGGCCACGATGTAGATCACCAGCGAGTTGCCGACAACCCCGACCACGAAAATAATGGAGTACAAAGTCGGCGCTACGTAAGCCTCTGTCGTTGTAGGTACATCAAGAAAACTGGTGACGTTTCCAGTGATGTTTACCAGCCTATCCAGGATTTCTACAGACATTTTGTAGCCCTTTTTCAGATCTCGACAGAACTATTTGTTTTTTTCTTGTACCTGCCCCAGACTAATCTTAACAACCTACGCACGGCGCGTTTGTAGTTTCATGCATATTACACCATCAAACGGTCCAATACGCAATCATGAAAGAATGGAGTCAATGAGGGGTTTTCTTTGAAAGGACCGCCGTTGCTTTACCGGCAGAAACTAATACCGGTTTCGAAGATTGAAACTTGTTTCTAAGGCCTCGCTGAGTATGAGAAGCATTTATATCCTACCAGGCCATCGCAAAACCACATTCTGAATTACAGATGTTAACCATTTCACCTATTTTGTTGGTCTTAATACACAAACACCTAAGTCCAGCATAAGCCTTAGATTGACAATTAAGATTGTGAACATCTCATATTATGAGTTGACAGGAAGCTATAAGTTTACCATGTTACTGATTAACCGTATCGCCTAATGGGTCCCCATGGTATACTTGACATACCTTTAACACTGAGATACTGAGTGATGTCTAAATAACTTCTGCCACACATTCAGGACCTTCCTCTGACCATGACCCTAATGCTGAGGTCACAATTCACACACGGGGCCCGGCCGGGCAGCTTTTGGGAACGAAAAGTACGATATAAAAGACAAGAAAACACAGAAAAGTTGTTAATAACAATCATGGGCACTATTTCTGTATATTCTGACATGAATTGTTAATTTTTCGTTCATACAAACAGCCCGGCCGGGCCCCGGTTTGGAAATGTGACCTAAGCATAACACCAGCCATTCAACCAAGTCTGGCTGAAGTTCGGGAGCAGTCTGACCAGATTTATGCCACGCCTACCTTTCTGTACCAATCAAATCAAATCCCGAGCATCAGCCAATCACCAGCCACCCGTGGGTAAACTTTCCACCCACACCCGAATGTTTGAAACATTTGGAACGTTTTTGCTGTTACTATTATATACCCCAGGTAGACCAACGGTGGCAATACAGTATCCATTTTGCAGAGGACTGTCCATTAGCCTAGTGCCATATAATGGACACTCCTCTGGCCAATGGATGTTGTATTGCCACCGGAGGATCAGTTTGGAGATTAAGCTGTTGCAGCTGTAGAATAAGCCGAACTTCTTGAACAACCAACCAACCAACCAACCACAGCCGGCCTTACTGCTGATCCATGACCAACCACAGCCGAGCTTACTTGCTCCTGGCATACTCCTAAGCATTGTTGGGGGTGGGGTTGGTTGGCAGCCAATGTTCGGGATGCTAAATTCAGATGTATGACAGGGACTTTACTTTCCATACACGTCACCTAGTTCTCAAAGTTTTGTCGCCAGCAATACTCAATATACACACTCTTGCTGCCTTCAATCATCAATGGTAATCCAATGTCAAAACATTTGTGATATGATGGAAACAAAATAGCCTAGCTGATTTACAGTGTTTACCTTGGTTTGCTTACGTTTCGACAAGGTGTGACATTCATGTGATGCCAACAAAACATTTTATATTCATATATTACCAAAGGGACCAATTACGGCAGCAATGACAGTTGCATTGGATTGTCAACAACCTTGGGATAAAGCTCAAAACGCGATACAAACAAATTTAAACTTCAACCATGTAATTACATACCGGAAGTGCCCTTTACAGTTGACGTAACGAGGAAAATACAATCATGTATTGAGATAGAATCCCTCTCTCAGTGGACTATATTAATGCCGTATGACTGGCAACTTGCCAAATGCCTCGCAAGCAACCTCTTCCAAGTAATGAAGGACAACTGCTGATCTAACGCGTCATGCTCAGTAGGAATTGAAGAGTACTGTCCTTTAGTGAAAGGCAAAAAAGATTTAAGGGCCACAAATCGACGAATACATCATTTTGGTTTGGCAGGTTTGATGAAAGTTGTGTAAATCTAATGAGCGAAGTTTTAGCGATGTATTTTACCACACCTACGCTGTGCATATTAGAAATCCAGTTGCAAACTGTTGTAAGAGTTCAACTAACTAAGGTCAGCACAGGTGCCAATAATGTATAGGTAGTGTGCAATTATTTGAGGTTTGGTTATGTATCTGTGCATTGGGGCCAATCAACGTTACTTTATGAATGCTGTTATTTTATGCCTTTAAAGCAAATTTAGCCTCTTCTGTATTAACAATCGATCATTTCCATCCTTAATGGTGGAATACAAAGTAGAAAAGTTATTTGTTACTTAATGAAAGACATTCATCGGAAAAGTTTTCAAACTTTTTCTTTATATTTTTCGAAGTCTCCGTTTTTTAGGCCTGGCGACTATAGGCTTTTTTATTAAATAGTATGATAAATCATATTATAATTCATATTCTTATTCATTTATTTATTTATCTATCTATCTATCTATCTATCTATCTATCTAATATATATTACGCTTTACAGATTAGATATTAAATATATGTAAAGAGCAGGCATTAAACGTAAAAAAATGCTTTTATCAAATGACATGCTCTGTACAAAATCTGTACATCTGTTCTCTTGATTTCTGTACCACATACTTTTGAATCTTCTTTTAGTGTCATTCACCCAAGCATCTCATCTATTCATGCATTTATTCAAATGACTTAATTCATGATAGCAATCATAATAATTAGTTTATATCTGCAAATTCTTTCCGAAGGCAATGCATACAATCAACTTGATTGTGATTATGATGCCAGTAATTAAGATGGGAAAAATAAAGCTAATTGAAAAATCATGATGTGATCACAATGTGAAGGAAGCTGCATTATATTGGTGCACCTGATGTCATACAATATTTCCTGTGCGTGTTATGTTACCTATAGGCGTCATGATGTGCATTGAGCTTTTCACATATTACAAATATTAATACATATGGCTTCTGATGCCATGGTTAATTTCTTTATGGTTCAAAATGTCCATACGAATCCGTATACCATGGCCTTAAATCTGCACTATAAGACCTTATGATTGTGCATAAAACAATGTGATTTTTTCCACATATTAATTATTAATTTATTAATTCCTATGATAATATTCCTTTATCTATCAATTCAGTCATCAATTCACTCGGTCGTGGTAAAGGATTTTGATTCCATTGTTCATTTTTTTATGGTTCAAAATGTTCATACCGGTTAATATAGCATTTAATCTACTCTATAAGACATCATGATTGTGCATAAAACAATGTGAATTTTTTCCACAAATTAATTAATTCCTATAATCATACCTTTATCCACCAATTCATTAATTAATCCATTCAGTTAGGGTAAAGGATTCAGCCGTGTCACTGCTAATTTCTCCATCGTTCAAAATGTTCACACGAGTTCAATATCCTCTAATCAGCATAATGCCGCGAATCAGGTACAAGTATTAACGTTCAGCTATGGATTACATGCATTTATATTCCAGCCCGGCCTGGGGGGCTTCCGATGAAAACCTTGACGCATGTCAATTGTTGGACACGAGACCATGCATACATACATATATATATATGTGTGTATATAAATAGACTTGGTCTGCTGAGATGCGCCGTTCACTCCGTTGAAGTTTATGTGGTGACTTGGCGTCTCCAACGAAAGATGTTTCTTTCTCGTCTTTTTTCAGTACTAGCTTAAAGCACACTGTTGTTAAGTTGGAAAGCTGCCTACCTGCCTAAATACTTTGGCCATAGGCCAGAAAGCTAAGTATTTCAGATACACGATGAACGGAACTTTAAACGAGACGACATCATGGGCAGGCAGGAGTGTGCATCTCCCGATAGTAGCGTACCTCGCCCCGCCGCTCTACGGGATCATCTTCCTGGTCGGCTTCGTGGGCAACTCGCTGGTCATCTACGTGGTGGCTCGCTTCGCGGAGATGCGGAACGTCACCAACTACTTCATCATGAACCTGGCCGTGACAGACCTGGCGTTTCTCGTCTTCTGTGTGCCCTTCACGGCAGCGAGCTACATTCTACCGTCCTGGGTCTTCGGACTGTCCATGTGCAAGTTCGTCCACTACATGATGCAGGTAAGGTTCTGGCCACATTCGTCGTAAGATTGTGGGACGGTTGGTAAAAAAAAGCCATTCTTGGGATAGTTGTGCATGTGCTGTTTAAATTTTATCTGCCTTTTTACTACAAAAGCTACATTCTGCCGTCCTGTGTCTTCGGGCTGCCCATGTGCAAGTTCGTCAACTACATGATTCTGGTAAGGGTCTGGCCACATTCGTTGTACAATCTTGGGACGATTGGGAAAAAAATGGTACTCGTGCATGTGTCGTGCAAATGTTATCTGTATTTTTACTACAAAAGCTACATTCTGCCGTCCTGGGTCTTCGGGCTGTCCATGTGCAACTTCGTTAACTACATGATGCTGGTAAGGTTCTGGGCATACTCGTTTTACGATCGTGGGACGGTTGGGGAACGAAGAAGGCATTCTCGGGATAGTTGTGAATGTCCTGTGCAAATGTTATCTGCCGTTTTACTACAAAAGCTACATTCTGTCGTCCTGGGTCTTCGGGCTGCCCATCTGCAAGTTCGTCCACTACATGATGCTGGTAAGGGCTTGGCCACATTCGTCGTAAGATTGTGGGACGGTTGGGAAAAAGGAAGTATTCTTAGGATAGTTGTGCATGTGCCGTGCAAATGTTATTTGTCTTTTTACTACACAAGCTGCATTCTATCGTCCTGGGTCTTCAGGCTGTCCATGTGCAAGTTCATCAACTACATGATGCTGGTAGGGGCTTGGCCACATTGGTCGTAAGATTGTGGGACGGTTGGGAAAAATAAGGCATTCTTAGGATAGTTGTGCATGTGCCGTGCAAATGTTATCTGTCTTTTTACTACAAAGCTACATTCTGCCGTCCTGGGTCTTCGGGCTTCTCCATGTGCAAGTTCGTCAACTACATGATGCAGGTAAGGTTCTGGCCACATTTGTGGTACTATTGTGGTTCTGTTGGGGAAAAAGAAGGCATTCTAAGGATACTTTAGTAGTTGTGCATGCGCCGTGCAAATGTTATCTGCCGTCTTAAGAAAAAAGATTCGAGCTACATTCTGCCGTCCTGGGTCTTCGGGCTGTCCATGTGCAAGCTCGTCGACTACATGATGCTGGTAAGGTTCTGGCCACATTGGTCGTAAGATCGTGGGGCGGTTGGGAAAAAAAGAAGGGATTCTTAGGATAGTTGTGCATGTGCTGTGCAAATATTATCTGTCTTTTTACTACAAAAACTACATTCTACCGTCCTGGGTCTTCGGGCTTCTCCATGTGCAAGTTCGTCAACTACATGATGCTGGTAAGGGTACCTACCAACTACAATGAATGTGAACGTACCGTAAGTCATTGATATTTCTACAGCCTTCCTATGAAGTTCTGTGTGCAACTTCTGCGTTGTCTACTCCAAGGGCTTTTAAATGTTTTCAAAATCCAGATGAAGGCTTGAAATTCAGTTGTTTTCTTTGAGCAAAAGAGGCAGCTGATTTTTTTTCCTGTCTGCTAACTGCGATAGACCTCCGGCAGAGAAAGATGCCTCAGTCGTGGTGGTTCTCTTTGAGAGTGCTTTCCAATTTCAGATGTAGGCGTGAAATTCAGTATTGCCACATCAATTCGAGCAGAAAAAGGCAGCAGTGTGACCAATGTTTCTGTCTGCTAACGGCGATAGAACTCCGACATAGAAAGATGTCTGAGTCGTGATCGTTCAGCATGAATCCATAGAAACTTCACTCATCACTCATGTGAACGGCAGAATCTACAGCCCACGGTATTGACGCCCAAACACTGTATTAGCAGTTTTTCAAAGATGTCAGGGCGTTGAAAACGTCCATTTAACCTTGTGCAGTGTTGTAGATCTTCACCCAATGGTCTTTCCGCTCTTGAGCAGTCTTGGTACTGTACATTAACTATAACCCGTCTCCCCTGTTAAGTCTCGCTTAGTGGATTTAAAGGGTATCTCCGGAAGCAGGCTTCCTGTAATGGTTTCTTATTTATGACACGGTTGCTTGGGTGAATTTGTCAATTTTCTTGTGTCACGGAGGGCAGACATGAATGTAGAGATACTTGCTGAGGTCGCTGCCTAACATTAAGTACTCTTTTGTCATGAATGAATGAATGAATCTTTATTCATCCGACAGACTTACATATAGCCTAAATTTTGTTGAATGTACAAGCAGTCTTTAAAATTTGCGTACAAAGTAATACAAGCATTATGAATTATTATTGCATTATCAAAACCCTAGACCTAAAGGAAGACCCCCAAAAGATGGCTTGACCAAATAGTACATGGCATTGGACGGTCCCTCAAGTTTGCTGAACAAAAGGCCTAGGATCGTGCTGCCTGACAAAATGAAGAAGAACGAGTGGCTAGTTCTCGCCTAAGCATTTAGGCAGGCAATTCAATGTAATAATCCCTCGTTAACAGTAGATTCTCTAGATTGGGGGGGGGGGGCGGGCAGTCTCTGAAATCTAATCGAAGTAGTGCCTTGGCGACGAATTTGTTGCAGATATGGATTCGACGGTCAGCAAGGATACTAATGTCTAATATGTAGACAGAGCAGAAGTTTTGTCTGTGTATTGGGTGATGCTGCACGCTCTCTTTTGAATACTTTCAAGTTTTGCTGTCTAGACGTTCTTCAGGGATGAGCGCCACGCCGTTGCGGCGTACTCAAGCGCGGGTCTCACGTACGAGGTCGTCGTGGACGTCAAAGAAACGTCATTCGGCCGTTTCAGCCTTCTCCCAGTCTTGTCTGTACAATTTTCTTCACGAAGGACCACAATTTCTCTCGGGTTCAGACGCGCGCCAAGATGACCAATTACGTTAAGTTGATTTGATTATGGGTGGCCTCCGCGCGCGCATGAATTTTCGCCCGTTGCCAACAAAGAAAGTTTTCGACCAAACTGTAAATCGTACGAAGCAGCTGCAATATGAGCATATATATGCCATAAATGTCTTAACAAATATTGGCAAACGATACTAAAATATCGTAGATAGCCAAAATCTATTTAGAAGAAAAAGAAGAAAATGTGAAGAGATGAAAATGAAACGTCTACTATTCGTCATACCATACTCTGTGTGTTTAATCATTTGTTCAACCTACATGACCACCTAGATTTCATAATGAAGGGAACTGTTTTTTCCAAACCTTTTTTTTTTACTCGTATCAGCTTTGGGGTTCCCAGGGATTTCATCCATATAATCAAATCAACACGGCCTTAGCAGATTGAGTACGTTCGATTCGAAAATTCTACCGGGACATCCACACGAAAAATCAAAGAGGTGAACATGGAGTCTAAAAGGGAGTGTGTCATTTCAAATCCGACTTTGTTCTCTGATACTCTGGGGTTGGTGTTACTTGAGACTAATATATTAGGCCACACTATCTTAGTTTTATGGATGACATCCTCTGAACTACTACGCGATGGCGAATAAAAAACAATCCGGCCAGAAAAACATGCTGCTAAACCACAGGAATACAAAAGCTGGTATTAATGTGGATTTGCGGTAGTATATACATAGTGACTTCTACGACAAGCCGGCACAAGCTGGCCTGTTGTGACATTTATGAGTCGGCACTGTACTGAGTTCTTGAGTTCCATGGAGCGTCGGCAGCCTGGGTGCCATCCTCCGTAGTTACCGAAGGCTCCCTATTGCCCTATTGTCGCTAGCTACCATGGACTACGGAGGATGGCACCCAGGCCAGAGCCTCGGAGGCAAAAATGCGCGCGTGGATGTCATCCATAAAATTATGTCAGTGTGGCCCGAACCTTTCTTTCTGTTATGTACTTGTCATGCATAGACCCACGCACACCATTTCATGTTCAGTGCCCCGTGTCAGGCCGTGTTGTAAAGGTTAACGATACGCAACGATGGAAGTGTCCCTGTCGACAGGAAATGCGAACTGCGGAAGACGTCTAGGTCCTTGTGGCAGACTGTATTATTACATCACTCAAGAAACTGTCACGAAGTCTGAAGGAACGTACACTTCCTGAATACCGAATAGAAAATAATCGTGTTTTTGTGACTGATCTTTTCATTATCGAAGGTTAATTTCAAGCACATGAGAACTAACGTTCAAGTTGCTCAAAATCGTCTTGAATGGAGACAGGCATTAGCTGAATAAGTGCTAAATCCGTGTTGCACGCTACGAATATTGCTCCAAACGCCAACTTAAATACCCTTGTTATGTCTCTTCCAGGCTTTAAGACTTGTTCAACACGATTAATCTTTCAGGCGTCACCTCACATACATCAAAAATGCTATGTATGGATGGATGTACTATGTATTTATATCTGATTGGGAAAAACACTTTAAATGGTAATGACTAGAATTTATGGGTATTACAGTAAAGGGCAATGTGGGCAATACAAGAAATACCCGCCTGTGGCAACTAACCAGTAAGTAATGATCTTCCACGATGATTATATTCATATCTACCTGATAATGCACAGGAGGATATCGGTGTCTTTATGAAATAGATAAGCGGTATTGGGTTCAAATCTCGACTGTAAGGAGCCAAGTCTTTTACGTCTTGGCGCGAAGTTCCTGTTAGTTACTCTCCAAGCAGAGGTAGGGTCGCTCGGTATTTTGGCAGTGTTTTCGCGTTTTTAATACGTCTTTCTACTTTTACGGTTTTTCTCTAGTAAGGGGAGGAAGACTAGAGAAAAACCGTAAAAGTAGGAAGACGTATTAAAAACGCGAACATACTGCCAAAATACCGAGCGACCCTACCTCTGCTTGGAGAGTACCTGTTAGTATTCCTGAGGGACTTACAGACGAGAAGTACCATTAGGCCACACCAAGCAATTTTTATGGATGACGTCCGCGCGCGCATTAATTTTGGCCTGTTCATAGAAGAAGAAAAAAAAAGAAATTCCGCCTCTTGTAACTATAACCAAAGAGTCACGATAGTGGGGTAAGGGAAGATTTGATTAAAGGAAAGAAACAGGACACGACGACGACTGCTGTTCCACTGATCTATTGATATTTTCATTACAAATGAAAGGCTTGTTGGTTGTTACTCTGTGCTCTCTCATTCCATTTGTGTCCTAACATATGTGGTCCATGTGGTATGCTTCATACATGACCTACCTCCTGAACAGTCACTATTTGTGTTAGACACCGTACGTTAAAGTCGTTGTAAATAATGCCTGTGTTAATGCCTGTGTAAATAAATGTAAATGAATGTGTAATGAATTTGCATGTACAACTGGACGCAATTCAGCCTTTGGCTGCAAAGTCCACGTTTTTTTTTACGAATAAAACACCATTTGATTGATTGATTCAATTCCAGGAATCTTGCTTTTTTAGGTCCTTCTTATTTTTTGGTCTCGCATTAGATTTAAGGTCTCCAGAGAACGTCATCCATAAACATTGCTTGGTGTGGCCATATGTAAAACGCCACTTCAGCCAGTACACGCTACACCTGAGAGTTAATTATAGAGTGCGTCAGAAAAACGTCAAGAAAGACGTCCTCAGGCAAATTGTACCATTTTACCTTAAGTGGGCCTGCGTCGACTGGGAAGTAAGGTACTAAAGGTACTAATGGAGGTCAATAGAAAACAATTAACCTTATATGTTTGATTTTCAGCGTGCAATCTGCTCAAAGTAAGAGGAAAATATCAAATGTAGCACAATCACACAGGGGGAAGTAGAGAATTTCGAAGATTCTTCATTGACTCGACAAAAGTACAGGGACTTTCATACGGTCTTCTGCAACTAAGATCGAACAAAGCTAAATACATGAGTGTATGAAGCCATCCTACGTACAGATACATGTATAGGACAAACTACGTACAGAATATATGTCAGTGGTAAAGTTAGAAACTACTTCGCAGAAGGAAAACATATTGTTTTTTCTTTTTCTTCGTCTCCAAACGATTAAGGTCAATGACCATGACCAGACGTGTGTCACCATGGTAACCTGTGGTGTTGGGTTACATTAGGCAGCAGGACAGAGTTGGAGAGGCTGGTCATGATATACATGTACCATATGAATGTTTTTGAGTAGTTTGTTTTCCTTTGCTCGTGTTTCCTTTCTAGTTTGGTTATAATCACTGTGGATTTGTTGCTTCAGGTGACCGCTCAGGCCACTTGCTTGACCCTGGCCATCATGAGCATTGACCGCTACTGCGCCATTGTCCATCCTATCGGCTCTCTGGGGTTCCGGAAGCGCCGCATCGCCATTGTCCTGAACATCTGCACATGGATCGGTGAGTACCGGTACAGAACGATAAAACTCATGTTAGGCCACAGCAAGTAAATTTTATGGATGACATCCTCGGCAGACTCCAAATCTAATGCGAGCGGGCGAAAAACAAACAAGGTTCCTACATTTTAAAATTTTGACTCAATCATTGTACAAATGGTTTTGATTCAGTAGGAACATCACATATACACAGCCAACATCACATATCACTGCATCAAAGTAAGAAACAAAACATTAAATCAGAGTCTTTCTTGACTCCTCTCTTTATCTGCCATCGACCACCTTCCAGCATGGCAACAGACATCTTTGCCCATTTTTGGCATGGTGTCACCACTGTCAGAGGGCAACAAAATTTCTTGTTTTTTTTTCAAAATCAGGTGAAAATTAATGCGCGCGCTGATGTCATCCATAAAAATTACTTGCTGTGGCCTTATAATGATAACTGTGTTTAACTTAGAAACAATGTGCTGTTGTCTGGCAATTATAAACCTATCCAGCGTGATATGTTTCATCTCCAGTTGCTTAAAAAAAGAGAGAAGAGGTCTTCAAGACCTATGTTAGCTAGAATGTTACATCAATTGTACGGAACTGAATGGTTTAACCCTGATAATAATTGTTTATATTGTATGTGACGTCTGACCTAAATTCTTAATTTTTAACTTGTAACTGTATGTAATCTGTCCTTTCATGTATATGTCTGTTTTATGTACGTATGTTTGTGTTATGCTGAGCCCTGGAATATTAGCCCCTCATGGGGCTGAAGGGCATCTTAATAAACCAATAAACCAATGTATGTCTAGTAGTTCCTAAGACTTTTATTCTTTTATCCCTCTATCCCTCAGAACTTGACCTCAGAATTTTCTTCTGTAGGGATAATATATATAAAGTTAATGTAGTGTAAAGTCAAATCTCCAGGCAATGGTTTCAGATCTTAAGTCAATAACCTCTTGGCTCAGTGACCCACAATATCTGATAAAGTATTCCTATCCTTAGGGGAATCCGGTGCAATTTTCGGGTGACAAAACTTGTTTTTCAAAGTCAATTTTCTGGTCAATCTTTTAATGTGGTAAGTTGGTACAACCCTACCCCATAGCATACTGATATCTGTGAAGCCAAAAATGTTGCAGATGAAAAACGGTTGCTTGTTCGATGTTGTTTATGGGTGGTACCCTAAAATAAAGGGACTCCTCATGTGTTTTGGGGGCTATTTTAAACGCTTCAAGTATAAAATGATGTCGAAGGTTTGCTATGAAATGGCATTCAAAGTCAATATTAAACAGACTTCCCCATCAATGATTTTTTTTTCGTTTTTCCACCCTAAGGCCATGTTGATTTGATCATATGGATGACATCCTCCGGGAGCCCCAAAACTGATGCGCGCGTGCGAATAAAAAAAAAAAACTTTTGCAAAAAAAAAAAGTTCTTTTCATTATGAAATCTACGTGGTCATGAGGGTTGAGCAAATGGCACAGAATATGGTTTGGCGAATAATCTAGTCTTCAAGTTCATTTCTTTACAATTCCGTCTTTTTTCGTTTGATTTTGGCATTCTACGACATTGGTATAGTTTTTATTAATTTTTTTGTAACTTATGGTATATTTTTGCTCATTTTGCAACTGTTTTGTACGATTTACAGTATGGTTGAAAACTTTTTTTTTTTGGAAACGGCCGAAAATTCATGCGCGCGTGGATGTCATCCATATAATCAAATCAACATGGCCTAAAAAGCATTGGATGGCTATAAGGTTGAACGAATAGTTAAAGTATAGACCTCCCCTGGTATCCCTATTCCTTTATCTTATTTGTTGAGGTCCAAGTGTTATCCTCAGCAGGTTTTTCATTGGTTATTTATCTTTACAGATCCATAAGCAAGCGTTACGGATATTTCATCAGCTTGCTATCCTTGCAACACAAATATACCATCCTGTGAAAAGAGGCTTTCCCGTAGTTAAAGATTGACCTAAGCCACCGCAAAACGGGAAGTACTCTGAGGATTCAAAATAATCCACTGACAGATACATAAAATTTAAGCCTTCATTCTCTGCCTACACGAAACCTCTGTCTTATCTAGACATGGACGTGCTTAGCCAAAAAAGACTTATAGTCAACCAATACAACGATTTACTTTATCTACCTGTTGCAGGCAATGGATTTTAGAATAATCTCAAATAAAGCAAGCTTCCTATTTAATTCCTACCTTTAAGAGCTAAGTAAAACGTCAAAATTCAAAGATCTTATTGACATCTAATGACATTATAGAAGTCGGTATTGGATCATGAGTACATCCGCTTGCCCAAAGCAATGCAAATTGACATCAGGACACGAATAATATCAGTCTAGCTGAGTGCAGTATGATGAAGTATCAGGTCCACGATTTTGAGATGCAATAACTTCGGCCTTGGGAGGAAGGCTTAACACCTACTGTTTCAAATTTCCGATGAAAAAAAATCACACTGCGTAGGTTCATACGTCTTCCTGTCAGTGTATGATACCCGGGAGCACTCTGGAACGTCGATAGCAATTGTGCGTCAAATAAAGTAAGAGTTTCCTAGCATATGATAAACGCCGTATACACGTGAGTAACGGGTATACGTAGGTTACATAAATCGCTAGAGCAGTGGTTGACCCCCACTTTACATGAAAGTTTTATTGCAAATTCATGCCCGAGGGCTAATTGCATGAACAGAAGAAACATTTGTATAAAAACAGATAATTAGTACACATAGAACTACTGATAACTATTAAGAAACCACTAGTAAAAACTACTGGGTTTGACTTCTTTTTTCAAGACAGAGGAAGACAAACGATCCCACTTTTTCTGTAATTTGTGGGTTTTCGAATGTTAAGAGGAGAGTAGCTTTCTTTTCATATGTATATGTGTGAAAGTTTGGGTAGAATTTGGAGGCTACGTCAAAGAGTTCATTTCGTTCATTGCTATAGAGGGTACAATTTGAGATAAAATGCGTTTCGTCTTCCACCGTATTCAACGTACAATGTTTGCAAATTCGTTCATACACTTGGAGAGAAAATCTGTTGTGGCTTGTTTCGTGAGCTATTCTCTGTGGAAATACCACATGTACATGCATATGTCAAAGTGTAACTGAAGGATGAATCTGACGCTTTCTGTAACGTTTAATTATGTTTACCTTCACGGAAGGGGAGTCCAGACCAGTGAGAGATTTACATGTAGCTAGCGGAATTTTCCAGGTACAATGAACCTGCCCGTACTGTACGTAGCGTCTGTCTTCTCTGTCAAGACCAGTGAGAGATTTACGAGTAGCTAGGGGAATTTTCCGAGTACAATTACATACTAGTAACCTCTACCTTCTCTGTCACAACCAGTGGGAGATTTATCTGGGGCAATTTTCCAGGTACAATGAAGCTGTTAGTATTTTACATAGTGTCTGTCTTCTCTGCCACGACCAGTGGGAGATTTCGATAGGGAACTTTTTCGAGTACAATGAACCTGTTAATACTGTACATAGCGTCTGTCTTCTCTGCCACGACCAGTGGGAGATTTAGCCAGGGGAATTTTCCAGGTACATTGAACATGCAATTACTTTACATAACTTCCGTCTTCTCTGTCACGACCAGTGGGAGATTTCGCTGGGGCAATGTTCCCCAGTACAATGAACCTGTTAAAACTGTACATAGCGTCTGTCTTCTCTGTCAAGACCAGTGGGGGGACTAAAATTTTAGTGAGGTAAAATTGGATCGAGATCACTTTAATTTTTCGTGGGATCGTCTGGCGTAACAACAGAGCGCTCGGCTCGGAACCAAGAGGTCCCGAGTTCGAATCCTGCCATGCCACCGACCTTATACCTGTCTTTACACGACTTTTGTCACTTCACTCAGGCGAAAATGAGTATTGTCCTCTGCTTGGCGGCATAAGAATAAGTTTAAAAAATCTTGAGTGTGTGGTCACCATGTCCTGTGTTATATGTTGGAATAAAAAACATTGAATAATCTTTCTGGCATATTCTTTCCCAGATGGGCTAAATGCACATGCGACCATATGTGGTCTGCAGGATATGAAAAACATAGGATTGAACATTGAAACGCTACATTCTAACCCTAAGTACCAAAAGTCTATGCATTACGGTAAAACTACATGTATATTCAATTTATCATCTAGTTATATTTCAGTCCATACCATGGTATGGATGAAATATATTGTGTTCTCTGGTGTTTCTTCTTCTCCTCCTTCTTCTCCTTCTCCTGCCACACAGTCAAAGGGATTCAACTCCGCCATCATTCAGCCAAATGGCTTGAAATTTGGCATGGAGGTAGAGTGGGCCAATACCCCCAGGCGTTTTTTTCATTTTTTTGATACATGCCTTTGAAAAAATTTTATGAAGGTTTTTTGGGGCATTTTTCGCCAAAAAATGGATTTTTGGATCCTGAGCCCTGGTTTTACAACCAAATCATCTGAAATTCGGTATAAGGGTACCTTGAACATGTGTCTACAGAATAGCAGTCACATATTTGGCATACACCACTTCCAAATGACTCATTTGGGGGACTTTAATGGCTATTTTCAGCAAAAAAAGGGCTAAAAGTGCTATACCCGTTCGTTCCATGTTCTATCTAAAGAATGGCCTGTTCCATCTGCCGTTGGCCATGGAACACGTGTTCCATTGCGGGTTACCTGAGGTCACATTGCACGTAAGTCGTGCGGAATGACCCACACATTCAATTTTATGTGGCTTAGACCTTCAAAATGTATCAAATCTCATCATTGTTAGTATTTGCATACCAGTAATAAGACTAGTAAAGCTTTCGAGATTCAATGTGCTTGTTCTTGCATCTTTGTTCTCAATTACATAGCTACTATATAATTCATTTATTTGAGAATCTTTGCCAGTTTTACACTGGGGTAAGTTTGGAATAGTCCACTTTTGCGTGGGAGGGAGATGGACTGAAATATGCTGTATTTGCTCCCAAGCAAATGTCGGCCTCTCTAGTGTTAGTTATCGTTTCTTCTCTTTAATAAAACACATGGAAACATAGCTTTTTAAAACACATGGAAACATATAGTTTTTCAAAACACATGGAAACATAGCTGTCGTCTCTGTTATAGCCAGGAGATTAGCTTTTCAGTGAGCTACATGTAAAACCATGGGCGATAGGCCACCGAGTTTTTGTTGAGATCGCTGTTGCTTTGTTTTATGAACACTCGTATACTGTGCACTCCGTACAAGCTTAAGATTCCCGATAATCATACACTGAACACAAACACTATGAACACGGTCCGTTGAAAGGATCCGAAGAGTCATGAACTCAACACATAACACCGTGAACACTGTCCGTCGAAAGATTCCCGAGAATCATACACTCATCGCATAACACCGTGAACACGGTCCGTTGAAAAATTTCCCTAGAATTCTCTGTACAATGAACCATACATATATAATACATACTGCTGGGTACTTGGTCCGCTGAATCATACAATAAAAAGCACACTCATTACTCAGCTGTTACATTGGCGTTCAGGGTAGCACAAAGGCCGACGGGAATAGAACAGGTTTCGCAAACTCGAATGCGTTCGCAAAACCGCTGCTCGACTCGATAGAACCCCAAGACTGGGCTAGCGCTAGCGGTGATAACTTCAAAAAGATGACAGGGTAGGAAATACCTACCCGTGAACTGCGTTACCAACTGGGGTGGCAGCAAAAATGTGACTTAGAATCACGTTCGGTGTGAAGTCCCTGCCTCCCCAGACTCAGAAAACAACGATATAGTACATTTTAGAGATATTGGGCACAACTACACTTTCCAAATCTCATGCCTGGGAAACATATGTAGAACTGAAAACATGTCGGTGGGGTTTGTGGACGTGTTTAGAGTACATTTACACATAGCATGTCAAGACTCTTGTCGGGTGATGTAGCCAGTTGTGTGCGTTTACATTTTAGAACCGCGCGGGAAATGTGGGCCTATCGTGCGTCTGATTGGCTAGCGATGATGTCATTGACCTGTACAGCAGCGACCTGGTAACGCAGTTCGCCGGAAATTGGACTTTACAAAATGCTTCATATCTTCTTTAAAATATGGTATCATACCCCCAAAAGTTTACATGGCTACTTAGTTACCCCTTGATTATAG